AATGCATTAATAACATCGTTGAAAATACTTTATTTATCTAAGGGAAGATCTTTTATTATCAATATTTTGTTTCTGAAAAATTCAAGATGAATCACTGCTAATCAAGCAATAATATCTGTATAATCTTGTTCTAGAAGAAATACTTTTTTATTTGAAAAAGTCAAAGAAGCTAATTAAATATAGGATTATGTGTCTTGACATTAGTTACATATTTCCTCATCCTAGGTTTTTTTTTTTTTTTTTTTTTTTATAAGAGTCGCATTGTATACTGTTCATTATTCATTTGTTTGTTTTTCTTCTTAAACAATAAAAATGACAACGTCCGTAGCTTATTCATCATTTGTTCAACAAATGTTAACACGATATGGTATGAGTACATATGTTGTATTTGGCAATCTTGGTAATTTATTGGTTATTGCGGTTTTTTGTCAATCTGAACAACGTAAAAATGCTTGTTCACTTTATGTATTATCGATGGCAATATGCAATTTACTTTGTCTTGATGTTGCAATAATTCCAATAATATATTCATTAGATCATATTGATATAACTATTGCATCTCTAATTGGTTGTCAAATGCAATTTTATTTTCGACATGTCTTTTTTCAAATGATGCGTACATATAAAGTTCTTTCATGTATTGCTCGTTATACTATTTGTAGTACTAATGTTCGCTATCGTTCTTTTAGTCAACGTAAAGTGGCTATTTATCTAATAATAGGTTTTGCTTTATTTTGGTCACTAGCAGTAATCTTTTTTGCTTGGGCAAGAACAATTCAAAATGATTCATGTGACATATATAATCAAATTTATTCAATGATTTATACAATTTATTATATGATATTTGCTGGAATTCTTCCTCCTTTATTGATGATTATATTTAGCGTATTAGTTATGAAAACTCTAGGAAAATTGCGAAGTCGTGTTCAACCAAAAAGTGAAGATCGAGAATATAAACAATCGACTAATATACTTCGAAAACGTGATCGAAATTTAATGAAAATGATTTTTATTGAAGTTATGTTTTATGTTATTAGTACAATACCATTTTCCATTTATCTTATTTATAAAATAACAACGAATTTTTCAACACAAAATCAAGAACGAAAACAATTTGAATCATTTATTGGTTATATAGTACAATATTTTATCTTGTATATTAATACAGTTTTACCATTTTATATTTATGTTTCAACATCATCTTCATTTAGAACAGAATTGAAAAAAGTTTTTAATAAATTTTATACTTTCATTATGAGAAGACAAATAAGAAATGAACGAGATGATGTTCCTTGAGCAATCGCCGCACGTCCTTAATTTTTCACTGTTTATATTTTTCCATTGATTTTTACTAAATTATTTAATGGCTATACAAATATATAATTCGATTTACTTGAAAATGATCACTCTTTCGTGCCTAACTAAAAAGAAATCAAGTCTTAAATTAATAAAAGTCGATGATCTTATCTTTAATTGAAGTTTTGTTATCTTTTGTATCGAATAACACTTTAACTACTTTTTTCAGTGTTATCCATCAAGCAATTTCAATCGAATAGAAATTTTCAAACTAATACCAAAATATATTTAGCTCAATCGAATTTAATATCTGGAGACATTAACTCATTAGCGACTAATAGAAGCAGAACAAAATTATTCATTACATGATATTTAGTGACTATTCAACACAAGGATTTATATTTATGTATCTATTATTTAACCCTTTGAGTCCCGGTGGGATATATACATCCCACCTAAAGAAAACTTCTAATTTTCAAAACATTTCACGAGTGTTTGCGGTTTTTAAGAACCAGAAGGAAGCCTTTGAACATATGTTTTTAATTAAGAAATATTTGAGCGAGATTTTATAGATATTCATAAGAATAGACAATATCAAAAAATGTATTATGGTAAGTTTATTTATTAATTTCAGAAAGGAGGAGTTACAAATTATGGACTTGGTATCTC